AGTAGTAGAAGTAGAAGTAGAAGTAGAAGTAGAAGTAGAAGTAGAAGTAGAAGTAGAAGTAGAAGTAGCAGCAGCAGCAGCAGCAGCAGCAGCAGCAGCAGCAGCAGCAGCAGCAGCAGCAGCAGCGGAGTAGCAGTATTATTATGATGATTAGTAGTCGTCGTCGTAGTAGTAGTAGTAGCAGTAGTAGTAGTAGTAGTAGTAGTAGTAGTAGGAGAAGATTATGATTATAAAGCTGGTGAGGACGAAGATGATGATGACGACTCCGATAACATAATGGCGATGACAATGCGGTGGGTGATGACGATGATGATGCTGTCCTTGCGCAAGGGCTCCCAGAAGTTCTTGTACTACACGAATCCGAGGACGCCGACGGCATGAAGGGATTCGGGGACTGGGGGCTTCTGACTTTCGCTCGAAGGTCTGGAATCTGTGGGAAGTGGGGTTTGGGTGCGCGGGGGGGTTATTGTGCTTAGGGGTTCGGAGTGTGAATATGATTTTGAATTCTGCCGGCTGTCGAATTTCGTTCAAAACCCCTGCCATCCGACTGCTGCTGCCTGCACCTTCAGCCGTTCAGGCCCCGGGCTCCAGGCACCGCAGCGGCACAGTTAGGACCTGAGCCTTAAATAGGCCCCCGAGACGCCACGATCCGTCTGACTTCCGGCTTCTCCAATAGATGACTGCTAATTCTCTAGTGCTGTTCTCGTTGATTCCTGTCCCCTCTTTACACGTTGACCCTTTCAGCCTATTGCATGTCCCGGATCCAAGAGCAGCCGCAAACGCTATGCTACTAGCCCAAAAGCAAGCTAGTTAAACACTGACTCCGAACCCCCTATGCACCGGACATAAGCCCTGTACGCGCAAACGAGTTCTGAACCACCTCCAGGAAAAAACACACGTGCACTCACTCACTCACTCACTCACTCACTCACTCATTCACATAAAGCACAGACATCTATGGGAGGATTCTGCAAGTGGACCCACCACTTGGCCCGAGTCACCGGAGTTTGAGCATCCGGCTGATAGGCGGGGACTTCCGTCGAACTTGGGAGCTGAGGGTTTTGGAGGCAAACGGGATTATGGGTTATTAGGGTCTTACGGCTCATTGGGCTTTAGTCTGCTTTTTTGAATGGGTTACAGTTACAGGTCATTAGGGTTTAGCAGTTTGGGGTTTCTCAACTTGGAGATTCATCCGGGTCTGCACCTGACGTGGAGCCTTCAAGGTGGAAGGGTGGCTGAGGGGCTAGGCCCCACGAACGAAGCTCTATGATTGTAATTTTGTTTCAAGTCATAAGTCTTGCAATATAAAACCCATCGCCTGCAGGAGTGATAGTATGGGCCCCCTAAACCCGAACTCAGCCGTCTCCAATATCCGTCGCCTGCAGGAGTGATAGTATGATGGGGCCCCTCAACCCCGAAGTTTCAGAACCTTTGCATTCTTGCTTGCTCGAGGCGAGGGGTTCATCAGCACCAACTACCTGACGGTGCGCTTCGGCGGTGCCCGGGGCCCGCAGTGCGATGCCACCCTGTCAGCTCCTAAATTCCCTAAGCTCGGACAACCTAAAGCGGTTTAGGGGTGTAGGGTTGAGGGTTGAGGGCTTAGGGTGAAACGCGAACTACGCAAACCTGTCAAGCCCTGACGTGCCGAGGTTTCCATCCAAGCGGAAGGCCAGAACCTGGTTCAAACGGCTTTGGCATCAACCGATACGGAGGTGCCCCGCAGAAGGGGTTGCAATCAAGGTCAGGATGTGCTGGTTTCGGCGGTCTAGAGCATTGGGCATTAAGGGTTGAGAGTTCAGGGTTATTTGTTGCTCATAATTAGCCGAGGCTTGCGAGGCTCGTCCCAAAATGTCTCAAATTCTGGATTCTTTTGGGTTTCCCCACTTCGTGGCAAGCTGCTGCAACACCCAAGCAAGGAGGTGGGAGAGGGAATCCTGATCAATTACACCATCCCTGGGACTAACCATGAGCACAAGGCATTGCCGGTTTTCAGGCTGAGCCCTAAGTCTAAGCACTTTCAGCGACCTTTTCGATCCTTTCACGGCTCAGGCGGTTGTGGAGTTGCCAAAGCTGTCGGTTCACACGGACATGACCCGGGTGCTGGCACCTCAGACATCGTGCGAGAGAAAAGTGACACGATGACAGGCAGACCATCAGAGATTAACGGCGACAATATCCTTGTGCCACCGCATGCACTTTTTTCAGTGCAAATTCCACTGCTGATGTAATCACGAACACTGCCAATCCGGATGCCAATGCTAGCAGCTAGCACTGATTACTAATAACCTCTGGTACTTCTGACTCCACGACGAGTAGAGATTATCGATAGCAAGGAGAGAAATGCTAAGACAGGTTGTTGTGGAAGGCTAAAGGCTGCACTACCCCGCACCCCCGCCCCAAGGCCGCTGTACATCTCAAACAACGGGCAAAACTATGCACCGGAAGGCGGCCAGAAGCTTGTATGGATTCCGTTGTTTGTTCAGGGCTTCGGGTTTGGGGTGTAGGCTTTAGTGTTTTGGGCTTGGGGTTTAGGGTTTAGGGTTTAGGGTTTAGGGCTTCGGGTTTGGGGTTTAGGCTTTCGGGTTTAGGGCTTCGGGTTTGGGGCTTGAGTCTTGGGACAAACAGCCCGGTCCACAGGCATTCTCGAATGGGATCAGGATGAAGACGCCAGTCTCTCAGTGGAGTTCTTGCAACCACCAAGCGACGTCCAAAAGGCAGCCCGCTTTTGCGAAGTTGAGGCCTTCGACGTGCCAAAGAGCATGGCCTACTTTACTTTCCATGAGAGTATCCTGTTGGGGCCTCAGCTCTTGCGTGAGACTCTCAGGCAGACCGTGTCAGGAGTTGACGGTGGAATGGTCTAGGGCCGCTTAGGGCTTACCTATAGTCTCCATTGGAATTCCTTTTGATTGGTTTAACCAATTCTGTATTAAGGATCCCAAAAGGTAACCCCCAAAAGGAACTACAATGGAGACTATAGGTATGGCGAAGATAGGCTTCGAGCTGCTGTATGGTCCGATCCGGTGGAGGGCAGAGTCGATCTGAGCAAAGTGCCTGCCTTGCATAGCCAGCGCGTGAGGCTCCGCAACGTCGACCCCGAGGCAGCGTCATCCCACAGCCACGCAATCATACACAAGCAGCATGAGACGGATTGGCGCGAGAGTTGGATCGTTTTGGCATGTTGGGTGATTCCGTAGCCTTTCACTCGGCTTGTTTGACACAGATCTGTTGTGTGCTAAGACCCCATGCGCGGTCACCAAACATCACGAGAACTGGTCCTTTCTATAGCCGGCTATGTGGAGTGCTCTGACCCTGAACTCGTCAGCAGAGTATATCGGCGAATTGCTAGAACCTGCGAGAAGTTTGCCCCCGCAAGGTAAACAAGCTACTTGAAGACTTGTATGGGAAGGGGCGAGATGCAGGTAGTTCTTGGGGCGGGGGGACTTCTGCGAGGAGACGTTGATTGGCGGTTGCCACGGCAATTCCCGCTCTAACGTGTAATGCATCTGCAGTCTCTTCATCTGCAACGGAGCTTCATGAAGGAACCAAAGCATGGTCCAGCTCAAGTTTACATGGCATGCAGCTGACAACCAGGACAGCAAGGTCAAGTCCAGGAATGAGCAAGCGTCATGACAGTCAGAGTGGCCGTGTCTGCTACTGCTGTATGCATGTGAAGACGTTGATATGGGCGTCACATCCAGAGTGCACAGACTAAGACCATCAACTCTTCGTCCATAGTTTCTCCATGTCTTCGCATTGTCTTCTCGCCCATTTGTATTGTGCATTGAGCTTCTGAGCTCGCAGCAGATTCTTTCGCGTCTAGTTTGCGCGATGGCAGATGGTACGTCATCAGATGAGCTAGATGTCACCAGATACTTCACTGGAGACTGCGGCCTCCAAACTGCACTAGTTTCTAGTTTGCCTGTGCATTCCGATACAAGCAAATACATACGTACATACGTACGTACGTACATGCGTACATACATACATGCATGCATGCATACATACACACATACACACCTACCTACCTACCTACCTACCTACCTACCTACCTACCTACCTACATACATACATACGTACATACATACATACACATAGCATCTACAGACACATAAACGCTAGTATATATAGCAATATATTGCATATTGTATCGTTTATTCTACATATCTTCTACTGTATATTGTGTATGATGTTGCTTATATATATATATATATTGACTTCCACAGTGGACGCGCAGCCGTCTGGAGCTGGTGGCGAAAGGCTTTCAACGAAAATATCACCACGGGCTTTTAGGAGTCAGAAATGCAAGTGTTAACGGTTAGCTACGGCGTGTCTGCAGCGGGTGATACTGTTGGGCGAAAGGTTTGTCTGACTCCAGCATGTCATGCTACCGAGGAATCGAGGCGACAAAAAGCGTTAGCAGCTGTGCAGATCAAAGGCAGCGCCCTCGAATATTTGGCCAAGGAGTTGAAGCAGGATAAAGAGGTGGTTTTGGCAGCGGTGCGGCAGAGCGGCCTCGCCTTGGAGCATGCTGCCGACGATTTGAAGAGCGACAGAGAAGTGGTCCTTGCGGCTGTGCAGAACCACGGGTTGGCCTTGAAGTTTGCGACAAAGGACCGGAAGGAGGACAAGGATATAGTGCTGGCAGCTGTGCAAAAGAACGGCGGTGTGCTAGAACATGCTGCAAAGGAATTGAAGCTGGACAAAGAAGTAGTTTTCGCAGCAGTAAAACAAAGCGGCCGCGCCTTGGAGCATGCTGCCGATGAGTTGAAGAGCGACCGAGAAGTTGTCCTGGCAGCTGTGCAGACCAATGGCCCTGCCCTGTTGCATGCGGCACAGGTGCTCAAGACTGACAAGGGGTTTGTGTTGGAAGCGGTTCAGAAGAGTGGCCTTGCACTGGAGCATGCAGCTGCGAAGCTGCAGGGCGACAGAGAGGTGGTTTTGGCAGCAGTGCAGCAGAATGGCCAGGCCATGTTGCATGCTGCACAGGAGCTCAAGGTTGATAAAGAGTTTGTTCTGACAGCTGTGCAGAAGAACATCGACGGCGGCGCCTTGGGACATGTGGCACAAGAGTTGAAGCTCGATACGCGGGTGGTTTTGGCAGCTGTGCAGACGAACGGCTTTGCCTTGGAACATGCTGCCCAGGAGCTGAAGGCGGACAAGCTCTTTGTGCTAGAAGCTGTCCAGGCCAGTTACCGCGCCTTGAAGTATGCAGTCCAGAGACTGCGGGGCGACAGAGAGGTGGTGACCGCAGCTATGCGGAAGAGCGGCCTGGGCTTAGAATATGTGGCACAGGAGCTGAAGCTTGACAAAAAGCTAGTGCTCGGAGCTGTGCAGAAGAGCGGAACTGCCTTGGAGTTTGCGGCCGCTGATTTAAAGCGCGACAAAGAGGTGGTGCTGGCGGCTGTGCAGAAGTGCGGAACTGCCTTGGAGTTTGCGGCCGCTGATTTAAAGCGGGACAAAGACGTGGTGCTGGCGGCTGTGCAGAATTGCGGAACTGCCTTGGAGTTTGCGGCCGCTGATTTAAAGCGCGACAGAGGGGTGGTCCTAGCGGCCTTGCGCAAGAATGGCTTTGCCTTGAAACATGCTTCCGATGACTTCAGGAGCGACCGAGAAGTGGTCCTGGCAGCTGTGCAGAACGATGGTATGGCCTTGCAGTATGCAACAGAGGAGCTGAGGATGGATCTGGACATTGTGCTTGCTGCCGTGCGGGAGAATGGCTTTGCTGCCCGGGTCGCCTCCAAAAAAGTCTTATTCACCCCCCCATTCATGCTGGAATTGGTCAAGGCCACCAAAGCTCCGTGGCTCCTCACCTGGTCGCCGAAGTTTATCCAAGAAAATGCAGCCATCGCTAAGGCTGCCGGCAGCGGCTTGGTCTTCACATGGTACAACAGCCTGACCTGCTTCCAGCGCATGCGCCACGGCTTTGTGGCCACTGGCGCTTCGGTTCCTGGAGGCTAAATTCGATTCCATGTCCTTGACAAAATGAAGGGGAAAGGTAGCTTCGCTGTTCTCTTCCTATGCTCTGAGATCTCCTTTGGAATTATCTTTTTTTTGGTGATACGTCGGGAGGAACAAGGGTTTCCCTTCTGTAGTTGCAGACACACACACATTAAACAAGAATGTATCTGTATATCCGTATCATTGCTGAAGAATGGATTCTGCTTGGCTGGAGGACAGGCCTACGATCAAGTGATGGAGAGGCTCAGGGCGGAAGGCCGGGGTGGTGACCCGGCTGCATTTGTTCTTAAGCGTTTAGGGTTTTAGGGTTTGGGGTTTAGGGTTTAGGGTTTAGGGATTCCCAGTTTTCGCGCGTGAACCAGTGTATGCCCCAATGGCCGAGAATGTCTGTCTTCCATCCAGGGTCATCCCCGATATGCTCCCTCTACATTGAGAAACTTCCATCTACAGGGTAGTTTATGTTTGATTCTTCATGGTCTTCTCCGCTTCATTCTTTAACCTAGTCGATTATACCGAAACCCCTAAACCCTGAACCCTACAGGTGCCCCTGAACCCCTAAACCCTTGTGACCATTCTGGTTGTCCACAGGCGGCAACCGCTTGAGTTGGAAGCTGACAACAGAGCCAGTGATTACGTGTTTCTGCAGAAAGTGTCAGTGCTATCGAAAGATAATTCAGATTGCTAGTGCAGCCTGCATTCGGTGTGCGGTAGCCACGATAACGGAGACCGACATGGAAAAGATAATGGAACAAGCATCAATTGAACCCTACTGGTAGACATTTTCGCCCACAAGCCCTAAGCCGTTTCTTTTTTATCAAACTCCCATGCCCAAAGCCCCAAACCCGTCATTCAGGTGCGGCCACCGTTTGGTTTGGAGACGAGCCCGTCTTCGGATTTGCCAACGACGATGGGACCTGGTTGCATCCCAGCGACGAGTGCGGTCGCGACGAGGTTCCCATGCCAGGTGGGTAGCCATCAAACTTCTAGGATCCCGAACGATAAGGGTTTCGGGATTGAGGGATCTGGGGCTTTTGGGGTTTATGGTTTGGGTTTCTTTGGGTTTTGCAGTTCTTAGGGTTTAGACATCAAGTCTCTAGGATCCCCGGTAATGGCTTAAGGTGAGGTCTTTCTCTTGAGATCTTTATACAACCCGTATATGTATATAGCCCAGAGTTGTTAAGGTATGCAACCGGATGCTACCCGGCATTTCTTGCTTCAACATTAGCACTACGCAGGTGCAGGATCTCGGCACCACATGTGGAATTCGGTGGTGGAGTCGCGAAGTACAAGGTTTGCTCCAACAGAAGGTGGCAAATACAAGTGCCACTTGTCCAGCAGCCAGCAGTGACAGTTTTTTTCACTGCTGCATTCCGATTTCCGTACTCAATCATTCGATAAGCCGAGATTACACTAGGGTGGCATCATGTGGCATCACTCGAGCAAGGCTGGTGCTGCCATTGGCTTCGGGAAGTGAAGCGCCAGCATGCCCAGGGCGCTGTGATTTGCTGCACTGTCTCTAACATTTTTACTCCGGACTCTCGGCGTCGAGTCAGAAATATGCGACGTGTGCCGCATAGAAATAACTAAATTGCGAAGGGTCTGTGGAGTTGGAATGCCCGATGTGTATCGGCATTCAATGGAATTGTGTTTTTTGTGTATTTTGTTGTTGTTTTGTATTTTTTGTTTTTGCATTTTTGCCTTTTCGTTGTCTCGACGATGACGACAACGACCACGCCGAGATGCCAAGGCAATCTCTCTTCTTGGCTGCTTGCATCTTCTTCTGCTCGGAGCTTCCTCGGCTTCTTCCGCTCACTCCTGCAAGGGACTTGAGGATGTCCTACTGAATGCACGATCGACGATAGTTTCAGAGTCATTTTGGAGGTCTAAACTTTGTTTAAGTACTCGGCACATCCTGTGCACATTGGCCATGGTTCACATGACTGGTGATGGCGATGAGCAGTGCGCAAGGTGTCCGACAATCCGACAGCCCAGACCCTTCTGTTAACCCCAACCCCTCAAATGCCTAACCCCTAACCCCTAAATGCTAGTTTCCGTCGAGCGTGCTTTGCGTCGGCCTTACAATTTTTTGGAGCGAGGCTTGCGAGAAATCAGGTATCTAAACCTAGACCCAAAACTTCAAACCACGAAGAGCTTGTACTTGTCTTCAATTCCATTGCCCCGGAGTCCGGGTTGTAGAGATTGAGCACGGGAACTTGAAGTTGTCCACCGATGGCACGCACCGCCTCATGTTCGAGACTTTTGCTTTGCTCACTGTCGGAATAGACGTCAGAGTCAAAGTGTGGTCCTCGGTGAAGACGGGAACCAGTTTGCCTTTGCAGTCAATACCTTCAACTCTGCTTTGCGCTTGCAAACTTTGGGGATAATACAGCGTATGCACACACCGTTGACAGCATGCTGAAAGTGGCTAGACGCTGCGGGCTGGAACTGGACGAGCGCAACATACTCCAGTGGCAGGGCGACATGCACATTGGCATTGAGAAGGCACATTGCTCCAGGCTGTGCTCGCCTTTCCGAGTGCGCGCGCGTTACAGGGGCTACATCTGAAGGGCCCAGTGGCCTGGTTTTCCTGTTGCAGAAGCATTTAAGCCACGACAAGGCAAACGAGCTGCTACCCTGGCTTTTGCAGTGGTGCCGAGTCTCCAAACCTTTTATGTCGATGTTGTTCCATGTCCCTTGGACGTCCATCTTTCAGCGTCTTGATGCGGAAGGACAATCCGAGGCAAAGCGTGCTTTGCAACCGCACTACTTCACCAAGCAACAGCCAGCTGCGAACACTAGCGATTTAATTTGGGACGCGCCCTGGAGATCTGGCCCAGACAGGATCATGCCGGGCATGCACGCAGGGTCTGCTCCGCAGGAGTCCTGGCATGGAAATGTCCGGAAACCTTGCTTCGTAGGTGCTTCAAGCAAAGATCCTTGGGCAGTCGCAAAGAGGCTTTTTCCAGGACTGTGTCGTCGCTCCGCTGCTGCGCAAGCTACGTGGCATGTGCATGCAGGGAAGGTAAGCTGTTTCAGGATTGGCCTGGTGTCGGGCAATTCCTGGACCCATGCCTCTACAAAGGCGAGACTGCAATGGCCAAGCAACGCAGAACATGCGCCACATCCTTGCTGACCTGGGCGCAGCACAGCCGTCACGTGGACGCCGGCAATGTCTGGATGCTTCTTCCGTTTTCTAGGTTGGATGCATTGCTGTAGCGGAAAAGCAAGGGGAGGCGGCAACAAGTTTCAACACCAGGGACCTGCATCGGCTGCCTGAACGTGGCGTGGAGCACTTTGCACACATCGTGCGTGCACGCGACCCTTCATCGGTGCATGACGCCCTTGTCAAGCTGGAGGTGCACGACTCCGAAGCGTGCAAGATGATCTGTTGGCGCCGTTTCGCAAAGTCTTTTGATGATTGGCGGCTGGTTGTAATGGGGCCGCATGTGACACCTGCTGGCTGCTTCATCAGGTTGAGCTGGCCCCGCCTGCCAACCGCAACGTGCACATGCTCTCCCTGTCTTTGTTTTGTGGCGTAGCTGCTCGGCGGGGCCCTTGCGAGCACGCCTACGGCTTCCTGCAGCACGAAAGCTACATAAATTCCACGCAAACTCCTCACCCCAAGCCCAAGGGCCGACCTGCTCGCAAAGTGAAGGTGTGTGCAACTGCTCCCGGTATTCTCTCGTCCCCAGCACCCGTGATGTTGCTGCGACTACCTGCCCTGCCGAAAATTAAGTCAGACTTGTCTCCAGAATCTAAGGAAGCACAAGCTTTGTTGCGGGCCGCTGGACTTAGCCAGCTCTTCTCACGTATGCGTGAGCAGGGCGCATATCTTTGGGAATGCTGCAAGGGATGCAACTTGCAGACTTCAAGATATTTTTTAGCTTGTCCTTCCAACGAGCTGCGACCCGATAGCAACATGTGATGGATTGTACAACGTGCGTGTGTGTGTGTGTTTGTGTCTGTCTGTCTGTCTGTC